TTTATTCAGCTTTTTTGCTGCTGTAACTAAAAGATCTGACCAGAATAATTATAGAGGAGGAAAGTTTATCTGCGGGCTCACAGTTTCAGAGGTCTTAGTCCACAGAAGGCTGGCTCCATTCCTCAGGGATCAAGATGAGACTGAACATCATGGCGGCAAAGTCCCTCTGGAAGCAGCTCACACAGTGATCAGGAAGCAGAGAGAGAGCCCACTGGCCAGATACAAACATATACCCAAAGCCACACCCCAATTTCCACCTCCTCCAGACACACCCCACCGCTTCGGTTTCCACCCAGTTAATCCCTATCAGGGGAGTCATTCACTGACTGGGTTAAGACTCTTACAACCCAATCCTGTCTCCTCTGAACTTTCTTGCACTGTCTCACATGTGAGCTTTTGGGGAACACCTCACATCCAAGCCATAACAGCCCCTTCCCTAACCTGAGAAAGAGGGGAGAGAGAAATAGACAAACAGCACAGGCTGGGCCTCCAAAATGAGACAGGGACTTAGTGTTCCCAATTCTGCAGTTAATACTTGAGACCCTTTCCCGGCAGCTCCTTACACTTCAAAAGACAGAAGGGACAACCAGAACCCCTTATTCACTGTGACCCTGCCACAGCCCAGGCCATCTGGCCAGGCCCATCCTCCCTGCTGTGTGTGGCAGTCACCTGGGATGGCAGGGAAAACAAGTTGCTTCACCAACATCACTTATCCAATCTTTAGGACCCAAGCACCTAAGAGGTGGTGCATCTGACAGATGAAGACACTGAGGTTCAGGGAGTCCAGCCAGCTTGCCAAAGACCTCAATTGGCATTTGATACAAGGAGAAAAGCCAGAAGAGACCCAGGATGAGGAGAGATCAAGGGGCAGAGAAGTATTCAACGTGAAACAGTCACACAGAGGAAAACTGGGGCTGGAAAGGGACAGAGGACACTGGGAGAGGGTAGAGACGGTAGGTGCAAACCTGCCCAACCCAGGATCGGGAGAGGTAGAGGCAGCGAGGCAGGAAGCCTTTAGAACAGACCAGGTGGGAAAAGACTGACTCCATTCTTCTGCCTAGAGTCCAGGATGGGCGAACCAGAAAGTTTGGGGCAGGAAGTGGAGGGGACAGGGGGTCACCTGCCAAAGATAAGGGTCTTCTGAACCCTCTAATTCCACCATACCCAAAGGACCACTGATGGAAACTCTCTGAGATGTCAGCACGGCTGAGGGCACTGGCTCTGCCCAGAAGGAGCGGTTGTCCAGGTCCGCACTGAGGACGGGGGGCACCCCCACGCTGGAGTCCCCTGGTAGGCTGGACTCACTGCAGAGCAGGTGGTGATGCTCCACTCTGGGGACCCGCTGTCCTGAGAAATCCTGCTTGCACCTCATAGAAACCTTATTCCTGGGAACCACACAGGCTGTCTGCTAAGAGGGTGATTCTCATGCACCCAGAAGGATGAGTGGGCTCCTCGGGCGGGTCGTGGAGTGAGGAGGGGGTTAGTGCAGCCGTGCGGTGGGCTCTGGCATTCTGAGATTCCTGGTTCTTTTTCTCAGGCCCTCCTCCCTGTCATTCTTCCCATTTCCACCTCTGTCTCCTCATCCTGCAGCTCTGAAGAGTGCACCTCTGATCTCTGACTAGGCGAGACCCTCTCTCACCCCACAAGCCCTTGGCACAGCTGCAAATTTGGGGTTTTTTCCTTTTTCCTCACGGTTGGATCTCAGCATCCAGCACAGCATCCTTGGAACTTCCTTGAACGAGTTAATTCTTTTCACTCCTTCACACAGAGCCCCTCCCTGTTCTCAAAGGGCTCAGGGGGGGCTGGGGTTGTAGCTCAGTTGGTAGAGTGTTTGCCTTGTATGTGTGAGGCACTGGGTTCGAACCTCAGCACCACATAAAAACAAATAAAATAAAATAAAGATATTGTGTCTGTCAAAGGGCTCAGGGTCTCAAAGGCTCAGATTTCATACTTCATCTCCTTTAAGCCTCATCCCAGCCCTTGGAGGGCTTGTTGCTATTCCCACTTTCTGGGTGGGGGGTGAGCTTCCATAGAGAAGTGGCTAGCCCACATACGCAGCAAGCAGTCAGCCGATTTGAATTCACGTGTCTGACTCCAGAACCCCAGCTCTGCCCACTGCACTACCCTGCTTTCCTGCCCCAGGGGTCCTCTGGATCTTCCCTTGAGATCCTTCCCCGGCCTTCAGCTGCCAAAGCTCAGGCCTGATTGGCACAATTCATTCAATCACTTCTTTATGTAACCAATCCATGGGCTGTTTATTGGCTGTGCCAGGCCCGGCATGGGTGGCCAGGGAATCAAAGGTGGCTCAGAGCTCCAGGAGTCCTTCAGGGAACCAGGGGATTTTTTCCCTCCATCCTCAGCTGCCCTCTCTCCACTGCTCTTGGGAGTTTTCTGGAAGAAGTCGACCCTTAGATAACTGCCCTGTGCTGAGCCTGCCTCTTAGCCCCCATCATCCTCCCACCTCTAAGGACAGCAGACTGTAATGTATGGGCTCAATAACATATAGGGTCCCAGTTCTCAGGGTCTCCAGCATGTTCTGAGGATCCATGTTCTGAGGAGGGACAGGACTCTCCCACCCTTCTTCTATGCAATGCTTTGACTCTCCCCTACCCCAGGTAGTTCAGAAAAAGTTCTGAATCTGGAGTCATAACATTAGGGCTCTAGCTCTGAGTCTGGTGCCAGATGCAGTAACAAAGAACAAGTCACCTGGCTGCTCCATGAGCAGCAGATTCCTCATCTGATCTGTAAAATGAGGGCAAGGATGATGGTGATCCTAATGCCTACTGCTCACGGTTATAGGTGAGCATTAACTCATTCAGACCCAGAGACTGTTATAGACAGACGGCCAGGGAAATGTAGCAACATGGGGACCTATGGAGCCAGCTATGCCATTTGCATACATTTGACAATTGATTTCCAAAAGGCTGGCTGGAAATGCACCCAGCAGGCTGAGCCCAGAGCCTCCCCAGAGCAGTCCCTGAGAAGCAGGAGGCCCTCCCTTGCTCAATGGTCTTAGGAAAGCTGTGCTCATCAGCCCAGCAGCCAGAGGCCCTGGGGAAAAGGCTGGAGATGGGAACAATCTGACTCTCAGCTTTTCCCAGACTTGAGTTTCTGGAGCTCCCCTAGAGAGCATGTAGCTCTCCGAGTTGTATCCACTCTCAGGCCCACCTTAAGATGAGTGCCTCCCTCATGTTCCCTTCTTGAATCAACCCTGGATCCTGTAGGATCTGGAAAATTCCTCCTCCTCATTGTACAGACAGCTTCCATTTATTGGGTCCAGGCACCAAGCCAGCTGCATTAGATACACCCCTTCACTGACACCTCACAACCACCCTGCTGAAGGAGGTTCTATTATCTCCCCATCTATGGATGAAACAGAGGCTCAAAGAAGTAAGAGATGTGCCCATGTCACAAAGCCAGTTTGTGGCAGAACAGGGATTAAACCCACATCAGCCCAACTCTAAGCCTACAGAGTGGGGAAATTCACTGACAAAAACACAAAGCAAAGATCAGCCCTCCCTGTGCTTGGGGAAATTTTCCCACTGTAGCTGGTGATGAGTCACTAAAGGCTCAGGAAACCCTTGTACCTTCCACTCTTCCTGAGGAGCAAAGAGGTCATCAATGCCAAAGACCCCTGAGACCCACATACTCCATTAGATGCTCCAACATGCTTCCCTGCAGAGCCCCCACACTCTGGAATTCATACTGTTCAACCAAGGAGATTGGGTCTCTGTTCTTCCATAGGGAAACTGAGGCAGATGGCGGCTGAGGCAGGAGCAATAAGGCATAGGTCTCAAGGCTGGGCTGGGACCATGGTTCACATCTCTAACCACTGAGCCCATGATCTGTCCTCTTCCCAACCTGGTAACACCATTGCCCAGAAAAGTTCAGGATTAGGTCCTGGATCAACCAGCATGGGAGACCCATTTCAAACAGCAGCAAATCCCAAGGCATCTTGTTTAAGGATGGGAGTCTCCTCTCAATCTTTTTTGCCCAGATATGAGCTGGCAGGGTGACATCAGGAGGGCCACTTCTGGGAAACACTGATGATGTTTTAGACTGACAAGGTCTCAGAACATTCTGCAAATATCAAGAAGAGAACCTCACTTTGAGGGGGTCAAAAGCACAAATTCCACTGCTACCCAAACTAACCACTGCTGTCTTGGGGAAAAAAAAAAGAGAGAAAATGAGAGGGACATTTATGAGGAGATCAGAGCCTTTTCTGAGTCATATCCAGAGTTCCTGACCAGATGGCCACTGGGGAAGGGAGAAGAGAGTCTATTAGACAGCCCACAGCCATTGACCATTGTATCCATGGGCTCTCCATTGGCAAGCATATGTAGCTGCACAAAGATCGGTGCCCAAAACCACTTTGGATGACCCCTCTCCTTGGGGTTTCAGAGGTTTGACAAGAAACATCACAGTCAACATCTCATTCTCAGAGAGAACTACAAATTGATGGTTTGGGACAAGCACACACCAACACGGGGACCCCAACATAGTTACCAAATCTGACTTGGTAAGTGCACCCCCCCCCAGCATGGTGCAAATATGACACTGTCCCCACCACCTACATAGTGTCCATACTCATCAGTCTACCTGGAAGGCCCAAAGCACTGTAGAGCATCTCCACCCACCCCTGAAGTTTCAGAGGACTAAACATATACTCTTACTGTCACAATCACCCACTCGCAAACTGTCAGACACGAACTGTTGCCAAACTGTCCCACAACCCTGGTGCAGAAGCAAGGGGATGCAAACGAACGATTAAATGTTAGGCAAGCTCAAGAAGCAAGCGCGCGCGCACACACGCACACACATACACACACACACACACACTCACACAAGACATTCATTTCTGTGTCCCACTCTCAAAAGAAGTACCCTCCCCTCTGGACCTCGTGCGAAGGTTGGAGGAGTCGAGGCCCAGGTCTCAAATCCGTGGTCACAATCCTCACCCCGGGGCCAAGTCCCGCGGCGCCAGCCCGCAGTGGACTCACCGGACGATGCCAAACATGACAAGAACGTTGCCCAGCAGCCCCACTGCGCACACAGCCGAGTAGAGCGCGGTGATAGCGATAGCCAGGGCGAGAGATGAGGCACTCCGAGCGCCCGGCTGCCCCGACGCATTGGCGCCCGCGCTGGGGAAGGCGCTGGGGAAGGCGTCCGAGGCGTTGGTGAGAATCAGGGGCTGTAGCTCGGCATCCGCAGAGGGGACAGGCTCCATGGCGGCCCCGCGATCGACTCCGGGTCCCTCTCCACCGTGCGCCCAGGGCGCAGGAACCTGGCGCTAGGGGCGCGCCAAGGGCCGAAGCTGCGGCCCCGACGCCGCCTGCTGCAGCGTCCTGGCCGACCGGCTTTCTCTGCGCCTCCTCCGCCTGCCCTGCCGCCCGCACCGATCCAGCACACGGCGTCCTCCCGCTCGCCTAGCCCGGAGCGCTGTGAGCCAGGAGCTGCTACGGGCTCCTCGGACGCGCCCGCCGCGCGCACCACGTGGCCCAGAGGCGTCCGCCAGCCTGCGCCCGCAACCGGGGGCGGGCGCTACACCACCGGCTCGGGCTCGGAGCTGGGCCGAGGAGTCTCCAGCCCCCTCTCTGGCTAACCAGAGTGCTCGAGTGCGCCCCCACTCCAGCCTGGACTCACCTCCCGCCCCCTTGCCACTTTGGAGTCAGAAGAACCTGGATGTGAATCCCACCTCCCACCAGCAGAGTAACCTTGAGCAAGTCACTTAACCATCTCAAGTTCATTCTTTTTATCTGTAAAATGAGGAAAACCTCTCTACCTCCCTCAGAGAGTTGTCGGGGAGATTAAGATAATGCGACCACAGAACTCAGTGGTCTCCTTTTCTCCGCTGTCGCAGTGTGTGCTGGACTCCGTTCTTTGCCATGTCTTCTCATAAGACTTCCAGGATCAAGCGATTCCTGGACAAGAAACAGAAGCAAAATCGTCCCACTCCCCTAAGGGACTCGGATGAAAACCGGTAATAAATTCAGAGGAGATGTGGGAAAGAACCAAGTGGTCTAAGGAATTGCACGTGAGATGGCATACACATTTGCGCTTTATCAAGGTCACTATCTTACCGTATAGAGCTGAAAGGTCACCACTGTCTGGACAGCTGGACATGTTTCATTGAGAATCTGATTTTCTTTTTGTTTTTATGCTCTGCACTAGTAGATTGGTTCTGTAATAAACATGTGAAACCTTAGAGGGGAAAAACAGCTCATTGGGGCACATAGAAAGTGCTCCATAAAGAACTTTTATTAGCCATGCTTTTCTTGCACCCCATTCATCGGCTGCACGATTTTGGGTAGTGGAGATTGAGCCCAGGGGCGCCCTACCATGACCTGCATCCCCAGCACTTTTTAAATTTTGATATAGGGTCTTGCTAAGTTGCAGAGAGGTCTTTGCTAAATTGCTGAGGTTGGCCTCTGACTTGCAGATCTCCTGCCTCAGCCTTCTGAGTCACGGAGATTAATGGCATCTGCCACATGGTCAGCTATGCACCACAAATATTTTGAGAGTATTTAATGTAAGAGCCAAGTACTATTGGGATCCAGTGGGACACAAAACCAGGTGCAGCCCCGGCTTCCCTGCACTTATAGAACAGTGAGCAAGAAAGAGACATTAATCCTAAAACCATATAATTGAAGATGATAGTTGAAATTAAGGAAAGGGGAAGGGTCTTTACAAAACCAGTGTGATGTGAAAGTTTGGGTGGCGAGTGGGGAAGCATAACTTAGGGAAGAAATGTGGGAAGACGGTTCCAAACAAAGAAAGCACATCTGCAAAGGCCCTGTGGTCAGGGGACTGAAGGAAGCCAGGGAGGATTTCTAAGGTCATTCTCCTCTCTGCTCTCTTCTCTCCGTCTCCTCAGTGGCTGTCCAAGTCCCTCTACCAGCTACAGCAAACCCCTCACCCCAAGGCTTTCCCATTCAGCCATCTAAAAACTCATCAGACATGCAGTGATCATGTGCTGCCAAATTCTCTTCTTTGTTTCAAAGGATCTGGCACACTCAGAGACTTTTCTAGCACCAGGAGAGAGAGATTGGAATAGTGAAGAGAATGACTATTTTACTGGAGTTCTGGCCTCCTCCATCCCTTTGACAAACCATGTTTTTTCCTACTTCAGGACATGCGCACATTCTATTCCTTCCACTTGGAAGGCCAGGCCACTTCCCCAAGTTACATGCTATTAATATTCATCCTGCAAGTTTCAGCTTCATTCTCAATTCCTTCATGAAACCTTCACTGACCAGATCCCAATGAGACCAGACTGCCTTGCTATCTGCTCTCACAGCACCGTGTTTGTCTTCTTTGCATAATTTCCCATGTTTCTTTGAGTCAGCACTGTTTGTTCATTGCTCTTGTGCATTTCTGTACCTCATCGTGGTATAGTCCCTGACACCCAGGTGCTCACTTGATGAGTGATTGCATAAAAAAGCTCAGTTCCAACTTGGTGGGCCCTTTTTAAAGAGGGAGACAGGGAAGATATAGCTTAATACAGACCTAAGAATTCTTCTAAGCAACTAAAACCCTTCACAGAATGGGCTCTAATCACATCTTATTTGGAACTAAAATGCTAATTTCCAGTTCTGCCACCTGTCACCTTGGCTTTTGCCGATCAGCTAGTGAGTCTGCCCATCTTTCTGAGCATGGCCTCGGGGCCCTCCCCTGTCTGGGAGAAGTAAACCTACAATCCTGTGTTTGCTGCTACCTTCTTCTGCCTCCATCCCCTCTCTCCACCCCAATCCCACACTTCTGAAAAGAGTTTTTAAAAATTGCATTCTGGGGGCTGAGGTGGTGTCTAGGTGGTAGAACGCTTTCCTAGGATGCATGAGGCACTGGGTTTGATCCCTAGCACCACATTAAAAAAAAAAAAAAAAACTAAACTAAAAAAACAAAGGTGTTCTCCCTCTCTCTCTCTCTCTCTCTCTCTCTCTCTCCATATATATATATATATATATATATATATATATATATATTTGAAAAATTGCCTTCCACCATGTTTTTTTAATCCCTCTGGTGGAAGCACAAAACTTAACCTTTCTGGGCCTGAATTTTTTTTTATTTATAAGGTAGAGAGATGCAGGAAGCAGGGAGAGCTGGTAAAACCATGGATGCTTTGCTAACTGAGAAAAACCATATTAGACATGAGCTATTAATAGCTCAGGAGATGAGCCAAAATGTCCCTCCCTTGAGAGCTTGCAATCAAGAAACTATGAGCCAGGTGTGGTGGGTCACGCCTATAATCCCAGTGGCTTGGGAGGCTGAGGCAGGAGGATCTCAAGTTCAAAGCCAGCTTCAGCAACTTAATGAGGCCCAAAGAAGAGGAAGAAGAAATAATCTTTGTCATACATGTCAAGTGCATGTGAATGTCTCCTATATTGGCCATTGGAAAAGCATATGGAAACTCAAAAGGCCTTGAAAGGGGGTTCCACAATGGCCTTCCAAAGTGATGACAGTCAGGGCTGGGAGTGTAGCTCAGAGGGGGAGTACTTGCCTAGAATGTGTAAGGCCCTGGGTTAGATGCCCAGCACAGAACAAAAACAAAAGCAAAACAACACCAAAGTGAAGTCAGTTGAGACTCCATATCTATGGGTTCTGAATCCTGGGATTCAACAACTGCAGATCAAAAATATTTTTAAAAAGAATACATCTGAGCCTGGCGCAGTGGCACATGCCTTTAATCCCAGCAACATGGGAGGCTGAGACAGGAGGACCGCATGTTCAAAGCCAGCCTAGCAACACAGTGAGACCCTGTCTCTAAATAAAATACAAAATAAGGCTGGGAATGTGGATCAGTGGTTAAGCGCCCTTGAGTTCAATCCCCAGTACTGTCCCTGCCCCCCACAATATATATATATATTGCTGTTCGCAATGGCACAGATATATATATATATATATCTGTGCTGTTCTCAATGGCACACACCTGTAATCCCAGTAATTTGGGAGGCTGAGGCAGAAGGATGGCAAGTTCCAGGCCAGCCTCAGCAACTTAGCAAGATCCTGTCTCAAAATAAAAAATTAAGAAAAAGGGCTGGGGTTATAGCTCACTGGTAAAGTGCCTCTGGGTGCAATCCTCAGCACAACAAGAAAGAAAGGAAGAGACAGAGAAAGACAGAGACAGAGAAATACATCTGTACTGAATATGTACAGAATTTTGTTCATCATTATTTCCTAAATAATACTGTATAACAACTATTTGTGTAGCAACTTACAGTGTATTAGGAATTATAAGTATTCTAGAGATAATTTAAAGTATACAAGAGATTATATGCAAATATTATACCACTTTATAAGAGGGACTTGAGTATCTCTGGGTTTGGGTATCCAAGGGGATCCTGGAGTGAATCCCCTAAGGATAACCAAAGATGACTCTACTTTGAAATAATCCAGTCTTCCATGAATATCAGCTATTATTTAGACTATCTTTTTTAAAACTTCTTTTAAATATTTTTTTAGTTGTCAATGGACCTTTATTTTATTTATTTATATGCAGGGCTGAGAATTGAACCCAGTGCCTTACATGTGCTAGGCTCTGCCATTGAGCTACAACCCCAGCCCCTAATCTATCTTTAAAAGGGATTCTCAAATTTGTCATCATAACCCCATATATATTCTTGTTGGCTCCCGTTTATGAAGCATTTTCCCTGTGCCAAGTGTGTCGTGAATTATCTCATTTCATCCTCAAGCAGCCCTACAGGCATGAGCTACTGCGATTATTATTGTATTTGGCAGAGATTGGGAGGCCTGCCGAAGCCAGAGCTGAGATGCCAGGCCCGTATAGTATGGAGGTTCAATGCCCAGTCTCCCAACTGCTATACCATGTACTCCCGTGGTGTAGCAGTCACCAAGAACTCTGTCTGCCTCTGTTCAGCAGCTGTCCCCCACTGGGAAGAGCTATGAGTCCTTTGGAACTCAAGAGATTCTTGAGTCTGTCCCTACTCTTGGTGAACAAAGAGTAGATCCAAATCTCCATCCCTGGTTTATCAGAATCTGGGCTCTGCTTGATGGGATGAGTCCCATCCCTGACTTCAGGGGGAAACCAAGCCAAAATAAAATAGAAGAAAAAAATCTGGGTGGGAAATCCTGAGCCAACCCAGGGCATCAGAAGGCGTCAGCCACAGAGAAACAGAAATCACTGAAGGAGTCAGAGCAGAAAGGAACTCCCTGGGGAAGCTATTAACAATTTAGTACGTGGGAATGTGGCTCCCACCTGCCAAAGAGACAGATCTGCCTGATGGAAAATACTGAGGCTGCCTCTCCTCGCCTCGCAGCTCCCCCTGGGCTGCCTTTCAGTCTGGATCCATCTGCAAGTCCCAGGAGGGAGGAGGACCATAAAGATAACCATAAAATAATAACCACTTACATTTGCAAAGTACTTTTGACTTTCCAAAGCACTTCCAGATTGA